ATTAGGCTTGAAATGCACTTGAGACAGGGATGAAACCTTCATGGAGGGGCCCTCAAGGCTGGTTAAGCTTCTCATTGTCTATTTGGATGAATATGCGTCTGTGAGGGAGTCCTTTTCTGGGGCAGCAGAGCCGGAATAGTCTCAATTTGAAGCACCACGTGGATATTTTCCTTTGCAGAAAGGGGAATATGCTAATCAGTGGAGCGGTCTGGGATCTGGGGAGGGCGGGGCGTCTTGTATAACAACTTTGAGTGAGGAGAGCTCCTGGCAGGAAGACCCCCTTCTCTGTTTTCACTTCGAGTCCCACCGCCAGCAGCCTGAGGGTTGGCTCCCAAGGTCACCGACATTAAGCAACTTACAGTCCTGGCATCCAGCCCCCAGATGTGGGGCTGCCGAAACCTGAAACCTGCTGGGCCACAGCTGTGATGGCCAAAAAAAAAAAAAAAAAGGTAGGGAATGCAACTTAGCTGCCAACTTGAGTCTTCTGCTCCGCAGGCTGCCTGTCTCGCGAAGGGGTGTTGGTCAAGGGGTGTTGGTCGCTGCCTGCAGGCCCGCCCCCTGCCCACCTGGGTCTCCACCTTCTTCTTTCGCTTCCCTGCAGACAACTAGAGGCACATGGTCAGGGGATGATCACAGCCCAGCCCCGGTGAGGCCAGTCCTCCCTATCAGAGAGTCCTGGTTTTGTGGAACCTTCTGGAACCCCTAGGGCCATCTCATTTTCTGTGCACAAGCAGGAGTGAGGTGAAATCAATAATTTGACTGTGTTCATTTCCAAGGGCTGTCGTAATAGATTATTGTAAACTGAGTGGCTTAAAACAACAGACATTTTTTTCTCTCACAGCTCAGGAGGCCAGAAGCCTGAAACTGAGGTGTCGGCAGGGCTGTGCTCCTTCTAAAGGCTGGAGGGAAGACTCTTTCCTGGCCTCTTCCAGCTGCTGGTGGCCGCTGGCAGCCCTTGGTGTTCCTTGGCTTGTGGCTGCATCACTCCAACTCCAATCTCTGCCTCTGCCTTCACATGGCCTTCCTCTCTCTGGGTGTGTGTTCTCTCCTTTTCTTATGACAACACTCCTTGGATTTAGGCCCACCCTAAGTCCAGGATGATGTCATCTTGAGATCCTGAACTACCCCTATTCCCAAATAAAGTCACATTCTGAAGTTCCAGGTGGACCTAAACTTGGGGGGGCACACGATTCAACCTACTATACTGACCTTTGGGGATGTTTATTTCCCACTTATACACACAAGCACTCGTTAAAGAAGGTATTTGGGATCATTGTTTTTAGTTTACGTGCATTTTAAAAATTCTGTGTTCAGTCACTTAACACTCACGTACATTTTTCCATGTTAAACTCCTATGCAATCTTCATTTTTGATGACTGCCTCTTGCTCTGCCATATGAGTGGCAGGATAACCTGGAGGTTAGGAGTGTGGGCTCGAGAGCCGGACGGCCAGAGTTTGCATCCTGCATCCTTTTTGCACCCTCTTTTACTCACTGTTATGGGCTGAATTTTGTCTCCCTCAAATTCATATGTCAGACTCCTAAGCCCCAGTACCTCAGAATGTGACTGTGTTGGGAGATGGGGGTCTTTAAAGAGGTGACTAACGTTAAATGAGGTCCTTGGGGTGGGCCCTACTCCAGCCTGACCAGTGTCTTTATAAGGAGTGGAGATTAGGACATAGACACACACAGAGCAGAGACCAGATGACTCTGGGGAAGATGGCCGCCTACAAGCCAGGAGAAACCAACGCTGCCATCACCTTGATCTTGGACTTCCAGCCTCCAGGACTCTGAGGAAAGAAATTTTTGATTTTCAAGCCACCCAGTCCTTAGTACTTGTCATGGCAGCTGAGCTGACAACATACCAGCCACTGGGGCAAAACACCAAATCTCCAAGTCCTCCGTCCTTCCCCTGTGTGATTGGGGTCCTCAGGTTCGGTGAGGATTAGAGAGGATGCTCCATGCATTGCCTGGCGTGTGGTTTGAAGGTGCTCTTAGTGGGGCTGGTACCACCCTGAATTGTTTTGCCAACCCTCTGTCATTGCTCGGTGGGTGGAGTCTATTCATTCACTGGGTGAATGTTTGTTGGACCTCCGTCATGGCCATTTGCCCCGTGATGAAGAAGGCTGTGGTCAGCAGCTAGGTACCTGGTGTTTGGCCACTTTCTTTCTTTTCTTTTTTTAAAAATTTATCAATCACTTTGTTTTTTAAACTTTTATTTATTTTTATTTTATTTTTGGCTGTGTCGGGTCTTCTTTGCAGCGTGGGCTTTCTCTAGTTGTGGCGATCAGGGGCTACTCTTTGTTGCAGTGCATGGGCTTCTCATTGCGGTGGTCTCTCTTGTTGTGGAGCACGGGCTCTAGGTGCGCGGGCTTCAGTCGTTGTGGCACGTGGTCTCAGTAGTTGTGGCTCACAGGCTCAGTAGTTGTGCCGCACGGGCTTAGTTGCTCCGCGGCATGTGGGATCTTCCCAGACCAGGGCTCGAACCCGTGTCCCTTGCATTGGCAGGAGGATTCTTAACCACTGCGCCACCAGGGAAGTCCTGGCCACTTTCTGGAAAGAGATTTTTAGGACATTCTCTATCCTCTAAGCCATCTTCACTGAGCACCAACCACGAGGAGCCCTGGGATGGGAGCTGCCTATTGCCATGAGCTCCTAGGCCAGTGCCCAGGAGACCCTTTGCCGGTGGCAGTGAAGACCCCGTGCAGAGATACCAGGCAGCTCACAGCCCCAGAAAATGAGACTCTTGGAATCAGCATCCCTTTTCTTCTTTAAATCTGTCCCAATCTGATGGCTGCAGCTGCCACCCCCTGACTCGGCGGCATCAGGAGCTGCACCTGGAAGCAGGTGAGGGCTCGTGGAGAGGGCAGCCCCAGCCTGAAGGCCTTCACGGGCATCTCACACCCGCCCACGGCAGGGAGCAGCCCCTCTGCTCTTGTTAAATAGCTCGCAGCCCCCTCCCCTCACGCTTGCTGACGCCAGGAGTGCCAAAGGGGCAGCCGAGCCTGTGGTGTCCTGGCATCTCCTGGAGGCCGAGTGAGTCCTGCCAGCCGCTCAGCTGAAGCCACCTCCCCTCCTCCCTCCCCCACTGCCTCCAGCCTGGCCCAGGTGCCTCCAGCCCCAGCCTTTTTGCTTCTCTTCTTTGAAGAGCCACAGCAGGCAAACAGGATGTTCCACTCCCACACGTGAAGACTCAGACGAGACACTTGGGTCGAACCGCATCCTGCTGGCAGAGCTGGGTCCCATCCGCTGCGGACCTGGTCGGGATGGGGTGCGGGGCTGGGGGCCAGGAGGGGCACTCGCGAAGCTGGTTTCACTAGTCACTTTTCGAGCATCGTTCCAAACTGTGAACTTGGTGGGCATCTCAAAGTTCCCTTTGGGGGCTCTTGTGCCAGGAAGGGCCGAATAATGCAGGTGGTGAGGGATGGCAACACCTGCACGAAATGATAATGGCATTCCTCATCCCCCGTCTCACCCCTGGCTATGATTCTAGTATTTTCTGGGAGGTGTTTTTTTTTTCAATGAATAATTTCTCCAAACCGTAGCCGGTCAGTCTAGGATTACAAGATGGCTACAAAATAGATGGCTGCCATGGAGAGGCACAAGGTGGGAGCTTACAGAGGCGTGGTCTTTCTGAGCAGTGAGATAAGACTGGAAGGACACCCAGGGAAGGGCAGGCAGTAGCTGAAGAGTTTAAAGAAAACCCCAACTCTGCTGAAAGCGAAATGATTTAAGCGGTTCCCTCATGGTTGAAGCCGTCTTGGGAAAACGAAGGTGTCAAGGCTGAGGTCCAGTTCTCCCAGCCCCCAGGTAGATTTTCTGAGTCCCTGGACACCATCAGACATTTCATTTACAAAGTAGTTTGTGTGCCTGTTGAGAGAGGACAGATTTAAAAGACGTTTTACCACCCACTTGATAACCCTGCCTTGGTGGTGAGCAGCATTCTAGACACCCCTGGAACTTTCCACTTGTTGAGCCCATTGGTGGTGCAGTAAGTGAAGGCACCAGGGTGCGCAGGGCGGATTTTTGGTCTGCAGAATGCCCTGAAATTTCGGTTGAAAGGTCTGAGAGAGATGGAGAGAGATTTCTCGAAAGAGACTGTATCCCTCGACCGCCAGAAAGCGTTTCCCTTTTGCTTCTCCTCTTCCCACCCCTTTGCAGGGCAAGGGAGGAGGGTGGTGGCAAAGGATGGGGTGGGAGGAGGGGGGATGCTGGGAAGAGGGACCGTGGCTGAGAAGAGCGGGGGCAACTCTCTGAGGACTTGGGGTGAGGCAGGCGGCAGCCCTCTAATCTGTCAGGGTTTCTCCCCTTGCGCCTGATGAGCATATACCTTGGAATGATTTCTCTCCCAGAGATGCACTCCTGGAACTGTGTGAGTAAGCAGGTGTTTGCATTCCGCAGCTGACCGCTATTTTCTTTAATTAAGGCCTGTTCCCGAAGCCTCTGCTCGCCAGGACTACCGTTTCACTTCCCTGACCTGTATTGAATAAGCCCCATTTTGTTTCAGGGCATAATAATAGGTTTGTTTGAGATCTTGGATGCCAGACTTCCGGGGGTCTTAACAATATTGACATCGTCTGATATGACAGTGACAGTGGCCTATTACACTGTCGTCTCTACAGAAATGGTTTCTCTTCTGCTATCTCAAGTTCCTGGAGCAAATACATCCCTGTATTATCTACCCAAATAAAGTGGAAATTCTTAAAGGACCTCTTGATACAAGGGTATAAATCAGTGCTGTGAGAACCTACACTTGCGTGGAAGATATAGATAGGTTTGTTTCGTTTGACTCTCTAAGCTCTTATATTCCATTGAGATAGTTTCATAATGACACAAAACATCCAGGAAATCCAGCTTGTCTAGCACACGACTTACTTAACTTTCTTTGTGTGTTTGGCATGTATTTTCCTCAGCACATGATAGGTATTTAATAAATATTTGATTGGATGATTCATAGCCTGATTAGCCTCACACTTCAGATGTTTTTTCCTTTTCCCCTTAGATCTTCAACCTTATGAAATATGACAGCTACAGCCGCTTCTTAAAGTCTGACTTGTTCTTAAAACACAAGCGAACTGAGGAAGAGGACGAAGATCCACCCGATGCCCAGACTGCAGCTAAAAGAGCTTCGAGAATTTATAATACATGAGCCCTCAAGACACTGACAGGACTGGCAGCTTTCAGAAGTGAAGGAGCTCGCTCTCGGGACCGTGCAGGGTTTATAACCTCTTTGTTATCTGCAAGGACTGAAATGTGCAAAACCCTTCCATGGAATATGTGTATTTTATTACCTGCTTGACCAGTAAGTTTTGCATGATGGCTAATCTTACATAAAAAGACAAATAGCTTTGAAGTTTTAGTTCTCACACACACCCAAAGGGGGAATAGTCCTTAAAACACTGGACAGTTTGAGTATTTCACAGCTTGATTAAACTTCATGTGAGGCCACCAGGTGAACGTACAGCCACCTCTTACCTCTGAAGTCTTTGTCCTGCCTCTGTGGGTGGGTCACATGTGTCCACAGATTCACTTGGTGAACCAGCTCAAGAATCAATTGATCTGACAAACTCAGGTCACTGGGGTTTTGTCTGTCAGGTGCCTCTTGGGTTAAATACTTCTAGAGAGTAAGTTCAGTGCTGGAAAAAGAAAATTCATCACAGCCTCTAAAGATCTGGGGAGCTGAGTGTGGGTATCATCAGAGGGCTCTTATTTCTTGCATGTGGGTTTGTTCTGGTTTTGCCCGTAATCCGTGACATTTCATGCAACAAAGATAAATAGTTCATTTTGACAGAAACAAGATCTCAACCAGGAAGAAAGACAAATGGGAGACTGTTCAGGGTCCCCATGGTGATGTAAGGTGGTGCTGAATGGGTTGGTGGCACCGGCCCGTGCTGATGATGGAGCTGGGGGGATGTTCCCTTCTCTTGTAGCCCATTTGGTGAAACCCTTTCTTCTTGATGCCTACCCCTTGCTAGACTTGTTAACTCTGGGCTTGAGACTTCAACCAGAGGAAGGCAATGCTGTCTTTGGAAGCCCCCTCTTGGGTGAAGAGGCTGTGAGTGAAGTCCTGCTGGGCCCAGGCACCCGCAGCAGAGCCCAAGGTCAGGCACAGTTCCCTTCTGCTCATTGTTCCTGCCGTCTGCTGCTGCCAGACCTCCTCCAGCATGTTTGCCAAACCTTAAGCTCCTGTTTGTACAAACAAAGCAACCAGACTCTTACTTGAGAGCCTTCCAAGTCAGACGTTCCCATTTGCAAAATTCCCTGCTGATGAGCATGACTGTATGATTTATCAATCAAACCGGGACACTTGAGAGAGAAGGGGAGTGAGCTTAATCATTACGCTGGGATAATAGGCATCAGCTGGTTCTGTTCTCGGTGAAACCAGTTTGCATAGTCACCCTACTGACCACCCTCTCCTAGGGCGACCACTCGGGCAGTTCCCCGGATTCTCCTTGTCCATTCACTGTGGTCGAATGCCCCCTGTCCTTCCACCTTGGACCTGGGGAAGGGATGGTCTTAGGAAGCCATTCACTGCTGCCAACCAAACCACCCAACTGAGCATTCATCAGAAACAGCAAATGCTTGATCCCCCCGACGGGGTTTTCTGCCTCCCCCAGTTCATCCCCGACATGCCTTCTCTCTGCCTGGGATGAGATAGTAATGCTGAGAATGACACCCAAGGGCCCTGTCATCTGGGAAATTCAGTCCATCTTCAAACAGGCAGATTGATGCACTTGAAAGAGTAAAAGGAATAAAAACAACATGGGTTCTGTAGCTCAACTTGCAGTTTACTAGCCAGAAAAGTGCAGGGATGGAGACCCACACCCCCACTGCACTGTCGCAGATGCAGGATAATTTCAAGGTGCCAGGGAACTGGGCGAGCTGCTTGGTGCTCTCTTTTGAGAGCCTGTGCTGGGCAGGTCCCAGAGACTGCAGGTGGGCTGGGAACCCTCTTTCTGGCTTTTACCCTTTTACCCCTGGGTTCAGAGGCCCTTTGAGGTGGTGAGCTCTTCATTAGCACATAAAAGAAACAGCCAGAGTTAGCTGGAAGACTGTCTGCCAGAAGAAAGCCTCTGGCTTAGGAGCTGCCTGAAAAGCCGAATGCGGGTGGGAGGGTGAGCTGCCTATGTTCAGCCACGGCTTACTTCTCACAGCACTTCCCCCAGCTTGCTCTGGCCAGGCTGCCTGCATCCCTGCCAGTCGCGGAACTGAGGCAGGTACAGAATTCAGCTTCCTAAAGCCATTGCAGAAGTGAGACAGAAGTGTAGGGATTCTGTGTAGCCAGACGGATGCTTCTGCCCAGCTTTTCACTTTCACCCTATGTCTGTCCATCCGTCCATTTATTGATTAATATTTAAATTGTGTCTGCAACGTGCTAGGGATTGTGTTAGGTGCCAAGAGTCAATGGGGGGAGTATAGCAGCCATGACGATTCATGCTCCAGTGCACAGGTGTTCTAAAATGTAGGTTTTATTATTATTCAGGTGTGGTGAGCCCAGCAGATCAGGAGACGACTATCATTGAAATGATGATAGTTTCTAAGAGAAAGGAGCAGGTCACACCGTGCAGGGCCACGTGGGGAATTACCAGGGTCGGTCAGAAGGTGGAGAGAGTGAGGGAAACGTAGGCAAAAGCCTTTAATTTGGTTTCCTTGGAAAAGGCAGGGCAAAGGGTAGGTTTGGCTAGTTTGTATCATTTCCGTGGGCTCTGGGCCTTAGGGACTGTCCCTAACTGGTACCTGGGCCTGAGTCATTAGGGCAGGTGGCCCAGAGTGTGAGAGCCCCATAAAGAAGGGACCTGGGCATGTGAGCTCTGCATCTGTCAGTTATTTTCTGTCTCTAAGAATCAGCTGGCACTGCGAGGGGCAGTCCCTCCAGTGCCAGCCAGGATCCAGAGGTCAAAGCATCAGAATAAAACACGCTTATGACAACTGTCTGCAGGGCCTCAAAATCGTAACCCGCGGGCCATAGATGTTGTGTTTGATGGGGCATGTGTCTGAAAGCTTTCAGTGCAATTGCCTTGGGCAGAGCGCAAATGTAATCTCCAGTTGGCTACAGGCCCCATCATTCCCTATTGCCTTCTAACAGGCCATTCACATTTTACATTTTCTGCTGGCTCTCCAGTTTGTGCCCTGATCTCCATCTCCTGTATGCAGAGAGCACGGCCTTGGTGACATTTTCCTCTGTGACTTTTCAGTCATTAATGATACCTCCAGATCCACTCTGCTGACCCGCCCAGCTTTCTCAGAGTCAGTTGCGATTCACACTCCTGCACCATCTTGCCTTCTCAATCACAGAACTCCCCTCCAAGGCAGGGCGGGGGTCACCTCACACTTGAAGAACACCTTTCCAAAGGCTTCTTTCCCATTGCTTCATACACAAAACCTTAAAAAGTGGGAGAACATCTATTTCTCCCATTTTAGAGATGGGAAAACCAAAACAAAGGACATGACTCACACGTGCTTATGAGTGGTGGAGTCTGAGGCTGGAACCAAACCTTCCATCTCCCGACCCCAGCTCCCTTTTTGGTTCATCCTCTGCCTGGACAGGGCCCCAGGGAGGCCCAGCGCTGGGGTGAATACTGGCATTTTGGTAAAGATGCTCCTTTACTCCTACAACAGATGCTTAATGAGCACCTACTACATCCCAGGCCACATACTAGCTATAGGAATGTAGGAGGATTAAAGAGTAAAGCATGGAGAGTTCCCTGGCAGTCCCGTGGCTAGGACTCCGCACTTCCACTGTAGCGGGCATGGGTTCGATCCCTGGTCAGGGAACTAAGATCCCACAGGCTGTGACGTGCAGCCATAAAATAGACAAAAGTCATGCTATACAAAGTTCAAAAAAAAAGAAAGAATGGAGCATCAACCCTGCCAGCAGCTGGTCGGGAGATGAGATGGGGTTTTTAACCAAAAACTCCTCTGTAAGAAAGAAAGTGACCAGCCCCTGGGAGAGAGACTGAGGGGACAGGACTGGCTGGTTGTGTTCACCTCTTAAGTTTACATGCTCAGTTGTTTTGTCTTTTCCCTAAATACCAGGGGGTTAATTAGGCTTCATGTTGACACGGGCGGTGAAGTGATTTCATTCGAAAAACATGAGAATGAGTACTCTCTGTTCTTGTGGGGATGAGCTTTTAAAATTCCAGTCTCAGGTTAACTCCAGAGAATAAAGAATTAGTTAACTGCGTTTCCCATTACGATTTTGCTAATATGTCCTTTCATGTGTTAGAGTCGGGAGCTGCTGAACTGGTACCCAACTCCCGGGACCCCGCTCTGAATTTGTGAGCACACTGTTTATACGCTTGGCAGATGCTCGGCAAGCGCAGTCATGACTCGCATTCTGTCATTATTTACTTTCATTTTGGCCGCGGATGGTCTAGAACTTAACATTTATTTAAGTGCTAAATGGTCTTGTTGTACCATTAGCTTCCAGGGTTTTAAAACTGTGTTTCTTCTCTTACACTGCAGTGAGCACTGTGAAAGGGCTGACGCCTGGGCAGGGAGGGGAGAAACCTCACACACAGATGGGGGCAGGGGTAGAATCTCTGTCGAAATGGTCCCCAAATGGTTCTCCTTGGATTCCCACAGGCACTGCAAACTTTGCAAGTCCAAAGTTACTGAAGCAGAAACCTGGGGGTCCCTCCTTGGGGCCTCTGAGTGAGTGTCTTGCAGGGTACACTGGCTGGGTGCTTGCACGGGCATTCACAGTGTTGCATCCACCTGGAGAAAGTGGGGGACCTTTTCCCAACTCCCAGAAAGCCACTGGGTTGAGAGACCTGGAAGTGGCCTGAGGGTCTCCCCTTTCCTGATTTCTAGTCTGATCCATCAGCAAGTCCTCTAAATTCTGCTCCAAAATCTATCTTGAATGCATCCATCCTTCCCACCTCCACAGCCCTGGGCCCTGACCAAGCTGCCTCTCTCGTGCCTTGCCCGATGGAGCCTCCGCACAGGTTAGTCCTCACTGCACACCCCCTCCCCATCTTCATCCAGCATCCACCTTTTAAAAGCAAAACCCTGACCAGGTTGCTCACCTGGATAAGCCCTTTCTGGGCCTTTCTTTGTGCTCAGAATGAAAGCTCAGATCATGGCCATGGCCTCAGGACTGCAAAGCCAGGAGAGCTGATCCCCGCCCCAGCTCACCTTCTGTCCCTC